TGGTGGGGATTTTTGGAAATTATAGAGAAAATATTGCAAGTTGACAAGTTTCCTCTATACCACATTGGTGGGGGAAGAAAACTTTATTGAGTTTACAAGGTTATTCCCTTGATAGGCTTTCAAATGTTTTAGTGGATCAAAGGAATGGGCCAAGCCAACGCGTGCCTAGCCTAGCCTAATCGATGTCGTGAATGTGTGAAATGGCGCAATTTAGGTGCACTTGGTATGTCGCACGACGCAACGGTCATTGAGGAGATTTTAGTGAGTTTGGATCAAGTCGGTTTGACCTATACAATCAAAAAGTTGACCGTCGTTGACTTCGTGGAAATCGCGTCAAAATATTCTAGAAGGTCTAGAAAACGGCTTGCTTGGAGTGCAAGGTATCGCCCTAGGGCTTCTAGGGTCCGCCCTATGAGGTCCCTTTATTGCCTTCTATGGTTTCGACACCTGTAAATACAAAATCCATAGGAGTTATATTCTACACACAAATTTCGATGCTCTCTCCCTCTCTTGGAGATTTCTTCCGGCTTTCCGAGTATTCACTCTGCGTTTACCGTTTTTAGTTGTTGTTGGAAAATCGATTAATTTGCTTTAAATTATGGGTTTTACTCTGTTGCTTACAATCAATAGAAGTGAAGTAAAAACCTTTAAGGACAAGAGTGTGATCCGTGCAGGTTTCTATAATCTCGATCATCTGCAAAATAGGTCGATTATACTTTATTGTCTTACATTTACTTTCATCCAATAACAAAACATTATTTTTCTACCTTTCTTATAATCAGATCTAATCAAGAATGATTGATTTGGTTTCTAGAGGAAACTTGATAATCATAATAATAAGAATTAGATTTATTATTTGCAACTAATCGACATACAATTTCATTTTTTACCGGTTTCCTTACTTATCTATTGATTCTATTGATTCTGATTATGTGTATGATTTATAGAGACTACTTAAACGATGGGCCCCATCTAATTACTTATTCACGAGAACAATTTATTCCTCTCTTTGGAACGCTCCTTAGGCTGTCCAGAGTGGTCATTGGGGGTTCAAGAGTAAAGAAGATGTCATGTCATTATTTACCCATTCCACAACCAATCCATTAGATTATGGAAATATTATTCACTAGTGGCTAGGGTGTGAAGAGGAAAAAGAAAAACAAAAAATGTGAGGGGACGAAAATTAGGTTGGAGGGAGTGGTGTCACATAAACCGCACTCCCTTCAATGCTACATAGACGCCACATCATATTTACCATAAAAGTGTGGTTCCTTGTCACACTCAATGAGCAGGGCGGGCAAAATTATACCACGAAAAACCAACCAACATGTTACTAACCGAACCTAGAAAGTTGGTAGCCAACACCCTTAGTTGGTAGTACCGTACCAATTAAGCAATCTTGGTACGATAATGGTACAAAAGTTTGAATACCATGGTAATACTGTACCAACCAATTCATTATATATATATATATATATATATATATATATATATACACACACACACACACACACACGAAATCATACGTATATTTCAATTAACAAGTGTGTTTAGTTTTTGCAGTTTTAAGAATATGATATAAGTCATTTGATCGCATTAATTAATAGTTATCATGTTAAAACACAAAATTAAAATGTTACTTTAGCTTTATTTCAACAGAATTCTTTTGTAAACTAAAAGAGTTATAAAATTAATTTGTTTATTAAACTAATTTATTTACTAAATGTCAAAATTACCCGATGTCTTTGTTAAATCTTGGAATAAAAGATTAAAAGTTGGTATATATCATTACCAATTTATATCAACCAAAATTGTTGGTAGCCAAACATATTGGTACCAAGTATACTTGATACGGTTCTTGTAGTAAATTTTGTATACCAATTATAATTGATACGGTACACGGTTTAGAGAAAAAAGAATCGGTACCGTAACAATTCAACCCCTACCAATAAGTGGTGCCATATTTTTTTTTAATAATTTAATTTAAATAAAAAAATTAATTTTAATAAAAAACATAACATATCATTACTTCAAAATAAAAAAAACATTATTCATATTAGCATATTAATATAAAACCATATTTCATAGTTTATATAAAAGATTCATATTGATAAATTTATTATTATTATCTAGATATGAAAAGAAAAAGAAGTAAAAAATAGAAAGCATGATATAGAAGGGGGAGAAAGGAGTTATATTGAGAAAAAAAAAATTAAATACATATATTTGTTGAAAATAGATTTTAATTGGTTTTAATATAAAAAAATAGATTTCTAAAGGAAAATAAATACGAAGGAAATTAAAAAAATAGAGAAAACGGAAAAAGAAAGAGGGAGACACTTTAAGAGACAAGAGAGTGAGAAAAATGTGCGGCTAAATAATATCGTAGTGCAGTCTAGACTGCATCCAAACCGCAGTAAGGGAGTGTTGTTCGCTACCTAGGTGACAATGATGTACTTCCTCTACCGCACCACTCCCCAAGCTTTAAACCAATCAGATCAAGCGTCTTCATCCGCCTTTGTGGAGATGCCATAGCCAAACCACCGAAACTGGGGATGGTGTTCATGCATCCTTAGCCCCTCCAACTCAACCTTTCATGCGTGGAGAACTATCCACTCCGGATAGCCTTAAAGAAATTTTCAGCCTCAAATGTGTTTTCAAAATCCAAGAAAGATATAGACCCCCAAGATATTGCATCGTCCAGCTAAATCGTCCTTCCATTTTTGTTATTGAAAAGGTGAAAAGGATTTGGATATCTTTGACATCTCCAACTAAGATACCATTTAACCCCCTTTTTCTCTTTATTTTTGCCGAATATTACATATCTCATTAATATAATACTATTTGATCAGTAAGATCATATTCGCCTTTAAAAATATATGAAGGAAGTCAAAATATCATCACATTCTTCCCAATTTTTTAATTAAAATATGTAACAATAAAATTGGGACAAATTAATGTTAGTATAATATATAGTATTCAACCATTAAACTCTCTGGTCCACCTCCCCACCAAACGTGACACCTACAGGCCGCCATAACCACTTGGAAATACAGGTCCTCTTGTTATCAATCTCCTGGTCTCCCTCTAATGAGACTAGTTCAAATCGTCGATGTAGTATTTGGTTGGATTATCAAATTAGAAAACAAAAACAAAAACAAACAAAACAAAACAAAACAAAACAAAAGCAAATATACATACATGACCATTGACCAAACCACGTCTTCTATCCCTTTCTTCTTCATTATCTATTTATTCAACCACCATATACCTAATCTCCCATTTTCAAAATTTCTAGATCACTCTTCATCATGTATACTCGTTTTTCATTTGCATCTTGTAGTTGATCTATAAGATACTCAAGTCTTGATGGAGCATTTGTCTGGGGTTACTTAGGGTTTATGTTCACACAAGGGTAAATCTCGGCGTTCGAGATGTTTATAGCAGTGATCCTTATGCGATTAGTTGGATCCTTGAAAAGTTGGTGGGTTAATTATTGGGTAGTTTTTCCTGTTTCATAAGGTTATAATTAAAGACACCAAGTGCACCAACCAAGAAGCGTAGGTTAGCCGCTTCGGGGCCACAAGTTAACAAGTACAATCACTCGTAATTTACACTTGGCTTAGGGTGCCCTGTATCCCTACCCATTGGGTATAGTAGGAAGATCACGTTATTGTTTAGGCTTAAGGTATTGTATTTGGTTATGGTTTATGGTTTACGGTTTATGTTGCATATTATATTATATTTTGTTATATATAAAATTTTGCTCCGTATTTATTTGTGTTATTTTATGTTTTCTTAAAACATTGGTGTGATGTTTGTATCTCGATAACATTAAAAGCATAAATTTTGATAGCTTAAACATTAATCTCATATACATAAAAAGTAGTGGTAACAATATTCGATTACAAAAAGGTAAAATGAACTCCGTCGGAAGGGGTTTATTACATGTAAGGGTGCATGGCTTCAGAAATGTTACACGTCAACGTATTTAAACGCATCGTAGGGAAGCATGCCATAGCCCATTTATCATGAACAATAGTGTCAAGCCAATTACGTTGACTTAGAATTGCACGTTGCACCCTACCCAATCTCTCTTCAAAATTAGACATTGTATATGTTTAACATGTCTTCTATAAAAAAAACTTTCACTTTTCAATTTATGACAATCGTAAATCACTAGTTCATAAACAAACTCTGACAACAAACCTCGGGATATGCATTTATGAAGACCTGTCTAATGAACTAGTGATTTACGATTGTCATAAATTGATTCAACCTTGTTAAAGAAAACCCAAGGCATTCATTCAACCTTGTTAAAAAAACCATGACCCTTATTCCACATTATGTGTTATTTCACTCCAAAGGCTAGAGGAAGGAGTTGGTTATTTCCATTGATGGCAAACGTAAAAAAAATATGGTGTCTATATAGTTCAAGGGGAAACGACGATAAAGATTAACGTTCATATACAGATTATAAATGGTTGAATCTATAAATTATTGGACCAACGAGCATCACAGTATTAGTGCAACAAAAGTTACAAGCAAATTAGTCTTGTATTTAAACTAAATCTTACCACATAACCAAAGACAAGAAATAAGAATTCAAACCGATTAGCAAGGGCAAATATATATATATATATATATATATATATATATATATATATATATATATATATATATATATATATATATATATATATATATATATATATATAGAGAGAGAGAGAGAGAGAGAGAGAGAGCTAGGTTCAAATGTTTTTCTCAAGTATTGTGTGCCAAAATGCACCAATGAGAATTCAAGAAATAATAAACAATTAAATAAATCATTTAAGGGTATTTTGGACCTTTTATACTTTTAATTAAGGAAATCATTTAATTAAATCTTGCAATTAAGGAAATAGAATAAGTATATTTGACCTAGCCTCTCTCTTAAATCGTGTCTAATAAAACCTCCAGAATCCTCAAACCTTTTTCACTCCTACTTCACCAACCGGAAGATGCGATTGAAAAATTCTTCAATGGCGGAAGATGCGAAGGAAGGCACTCAACGGTTCTTCGTTCCTCTCCCGTTGTCGGCAGCAAAGAAGATCAAGGGGAAGATCCCCCTGTGCTCATCTTCGTCGGATTAAGGAGGAGAAGCACGATTGGAATCAGAAATCGGGAAGCACTTCCATTGATTCACCGATTCGAAGGAGGAGGATGAGGAAAATATTGATTCCATGAAATCCTTTATCGCTAATCGAGTCATTTGTCATCAAAATCGATTCTAATCTTATTAATTGATTTTGTGTTTGAACTAAATCAATCTGTTGAACAGAAATCGGGGAAAAGCAACAGCAACAGATGGCAGTGAAGAGGTTCTCAGTGCCTGTTGTGGAGTCTACAAAAGAAGGTGAAAACAAAGGCAACAGTGGATTTTAGGTCGTCAACGACACCACCAAGAAACTGAATTGGTATGCTCTTGTACTAATCATAACATGTTTTTTTAGTTGTATCTCGAGTTCTTGACCACCAAGAAACTGAATTGATAAGACTCTCACTAATTTTTTTTGAAGAAATTGAAGAAGCACACCAAGTGTTCGATAAAATGCATAGTTGAAATCTAGGTTTTTTTTACTGGTTATGATCATGTTATTTGGTGTAAAAATAAACCATTTGTTAATTGTTAGTAAGAATTTCAATTGGAATTCAGATACTTGTGTAAATGAATTTCAATGTCTGCCACATTCTATTAGAATTGTTAATTGTTTATATGCATTATGATAGAATTTTGGTTAATTGTTTATATGTATTTTCATAGAATTTCAATGTCTGCGACATTCTATTAGAATGGTTGTATTGTGTACTTTAGAATTTATAGTATGTTTTTTTAGTTACAGCTTAAATGAATCATTCTTGCAGAATGTCTTTCAGAATAATGTTAGTAACAATCATCAATTTGATGCCTATTATTCACAAAAGATTTTTAAAAGAATGTTATTTAAGTGCATTTTGTAATGTTTTCTGTCAGAATTTATTTATATAAATGTATTCTATTAGAATGTCTTTACGAATGTTTGTTAACTAGTATATTTGTTTAACGGATAATACTAACGAGTAATGTATCTTATTCTTTCAGAATTGCGTAGAGAAGGAATTCAATATTGATTATACAAGAAAAATATTTGGAATCGAGTTCAACAACAAGTATATATGCGAAGATCAAGTGGATTATACGAACCATTGAAGAAGATCAAGTGTATTTGTTCAATAATTATATATTCAAGAATGCTATTTTTTAAGAATTTTATTCATTTTTGATGATATTCTTTTAGAATATATATAACTATTTTAAATGTATAAGGATATTAGTCTGTACGAATATTAATGAATTTGTTTTTTATGTCTCAAATCAAATATTTGCATTGGAAATATATTTTGCAAGAATAAAATCGAAAATATATTTACTAGTTTATGGTTTGCATTCTATCATTCTAACAAAACAATATTCTATTAGAATAAAATTCTGAAAGAGCATCATTTAAACAAAAAATATTTTGACAGAATAAAATTGGTAAAAAATTGAAATTGAATTAATTAAAAAATTCAGATTTTTTTTAAATTAGGATAATTAATCATCCCTAAAAATCCGAAAATTTCTTTTTATAAATGTAGTTAATTGTCCAAAATACCCTTTTGCTTAAAATTGTGTGATTATATGCTACATGTTACCCCATTGTAATATCATACACTCTCAAATCATATCCATTGATTAATTTCATCCATTGGTCCAGATCTGTGCATTCTGATACACAATACTTAGTAAAAACAAAATAACCTAACCCTATATATATATATATATATATATATATATATATATATATATATATATATATATATATATATATATATATATATATATATATATATATATATATATGGAAAAATAAATATACCAAATTAATAAAACTACGTAGTTTTCATTTGATTAGTGGTTTAATTTTATTTATAAAAAAAATCCTTAAACACTACCTATTTCCTTATTCACGATAACAAGGAAACTCAATTCCTTCTTCATTTTCTGCTTCAATGATCGGCTACTTCTATTATCGTTTGATTGTGCAAGAAAATAAAAATTCATACGAACACCAATAGAAGCCGTCATTCTTGAATCAAAGATTGAGTTTCCACCTTTCACTTTGTTCATTCTCTTTTCCCCTATTATTTACTTATTTATGTTATGAATTTGATTTTTTACCTTCTCGCATATAAAATTCTTGAATTCCCCTGTATCGTTTGATGGTAATTTTTTATTCTATTATTCATTACATAATGCTTTATTTGAATATTGAAATACAAAAGGATTTATTCATAAACTATGTAATTTATTAATGTTCTTCTTCAAAATATAATGGCATTGTCTCGGCATAGTTCCATATATCCTTTTAAATCTTTAACTAGATGAAGTTGCGTAAACCTCACATGTAAATCGAAAAACATGTTTGTGGGATTTCACATCATTTAGTACTGATTAATCCAGAAAATCAAGGAGGAATTAACTTTTGTTGTTAACGTTAATAACAAAATAAGTACTGTTTAAGATTTTTTTTTCAGAAAATTAAACCACTAATCAAACTAGCGTAGTTTTGTCGATTGGGTATCTAAGTCTATATACTCTTCAGAGTATATTCATTTTTCATATATATATATATATATATATATATATATATATATATATATATATATATATATATATATATATATATATATATATATATATATATATAATTTAGGACCTACCTTTTAAGTTTTTTAGGATCTACTTATCTCATTGAAAAGTTAACATAAACAAAAAAGTTTACTCCTAGTTCATTTGATAAGCATGTTTTTTTGTAACCTGAAGATTTTCTTTCTATCCAAATTAGATGAGGGTTTTTTTTTATCTTACTCAAACATTTTGCAATAGTCTTATACAAACTATGATAAACGGTTTGTAGTTTCATCTTTGTCTTCATTTTCTCCAACAAAAATCTTAATTTTCATTTGTAAACTTGTAATTGACCAAGGTGCTGTTAACATTCTGTAAAAATTAATAAAAAAAAAATTATATATTTGTGTTCTTGATAGCTTTTGAGAAATGACTTGAATGAGATAATACATATATTTTCTTGAGGATATTGAAAATATTTAAATTGGTTCCTTCCTAATGGTACTCAGATCAGATCATCCCACAATAAACTTATTATTTGTATTTAAAATTTAGCAATTTATATGTAGTTTGATGGTAATTTAAAAGAAATCTTATTAGGAACCACATGATTTTCTATTATAGATTCGTCACCGCCAATTAACATATTTCTTAATATATGAAATTGTATCCAGATTAGAGAAATTATTTTTAATTGGAGATACTCTGGATCCAAAAAATGTAACTCTTAACCAAGACATTCACATATATTTATACATGCATACTAAAAAAATAAAGAGTTCGAAATAACAGTATGAAACAGCTACCTAACTTATTTATGTCAATTCTATTAAACAATACATCCATAATCTACTTTCTGAAAATTATATCTGAAATTTTCATTTTATATTTCAGACCACATACGTCACATATATCAACCACCTACACTATTATCCTGAACAAGGTGCTCCTGAATCGATGGTTATTTTGCCAATAACCCAGGAAAAAATTATTAATTTAATTACATTCTAGATAGCGTAAAATTTTTTGTCAATGCCACTATAATGTTACTATTACAATATTTTTTTGTCAATACCACTATAATGTTACTATTACAACATTTTTTGTCAATAGCATTATGATGTTACTATTAGAAACATGGGAAAATGACATAAATGCCCTACGAATTTTTTTAGATTTACCTGTTGAATCCTTAAAGTTTTTGTTGGGTTTTATGAGTCCCTAAACTAAGATATGATCTGCTTTTTTAGTCTTTGTCAACTTATAATAGTCGGTTCAGTGATCTTTTAGATCAAAAACACTTACATTGTGCCCCTATAAAGCTTAAAAAAATAAGTTCGGGGATCAATTCATACAAAAAAAAAACTCTTCTTCTTTTCTTCTAAAGCTGATTCATACTCATTTCGTACCCTCCCAATAAATCGATCGATAGTCTTCTTTCTGTCTTCACCCTCGATCGTCACACATACTCACTGAAAATCACAACCCTCTTCCCCTTCTAATCGATTCTCGATCACAACCCCCTTCCATTATTTTCTTTGATTCGATTTCAGCTCTTCAAAGAATTGACCCTCTCCTTCCTTCTTCTATGTTCAAAATCAAGCTACCTCTCATTCTCCCTCCAAGTTGCAGGTTTGATGGATGCGATGTTGAGAAGGATGTGTGGGTTTAATGGGGTTCACAGACAAAACGAGAGTTAATCTCTTTTTTTCTTCGATGTGCAAGTGATTGGTTATGGTGGCTGACCGGTGGTTTTTTTGGGTTATAGGTGCTCCAATGGTTGCTTATTTCACAAGACAAAGGGAAAGAATAAGTGTTTAGATTGGGCTGTTGTGATATTGATTCGATGGTGATTAATGTGGGTTATGATGACTGTAATGATTGAATAAAATGTTGATGAGCGACAAAAATTTTAGCAACTCAACCGATCATAGGGCATTTGTCTCATTCTCCCTAAAAGCATTAAACGCTGCATTGTCCAGCAACCTACCAAACGTAACCAAACAACCAACAGGCCACAACCACTTGCCAGTTGCCATTTGCCAATAGTAAATATGCGGGTTCTCGGGTTATCACTTTCCTTAACAAGACCCGGTTCTAACTTCTAATCATCGATGTGGTAATTCTGTGGATTATCCAATTAAAAAATAAACAAAAACAAAACACACGTACCTGACTAGACCTCGTCTTCTACCCTTTCTCTTCAATCTCTATTTATACAACCCTCATATACCCTAAAATCTCCAATTCAAGTTTTCTAGATCTCTCTCTATTCATCATCTATACGCGTTTTTCATTTGCAGTTCTAGTTTAGTTATTCAATCTCAGTTCTTCATGGAGCACTTGTTGGGTTTGCTTAGGATTCATGTTAACAAAGGCGTAAATCTCGCTATTCGAGATGTCTGTAGCAGTGATCCTTATGTCGTTATTCGAATGGGTAAACAGGTACTCAATTCTATCTGAATTTCCATTCCATTTCACATTTCATGACCTGTATTTTGTTATTCCTCCGGTTGAGATGATTTTTATCGCCGGCGGCGGAGTAAAATTGATTACTATCACCTACTTTAGCTGATCCGCCCATCACGGCGTCACTTCAGGAGTAATAAATTACTGCAAATCTGTAAATTTTAGAGAGAGATTAATCGTTTCCTGTTTTGCTAATTTTTGATTCAGAAACTGAAAACTCGAGTGGTGAAGAACAACATCAATCCTGTCTGGGATGAAGCTTTGACGCTGTCTGTATCGGAGCCTCTCCCTGTCAAACTTGTAAGTTCTTCGTTTTCGTGATATTTACAGCTGCTTGTACTATATGCTCTATTAGTTGTACATTTCTTTTCTTTTCCAGCAAATAAAGCATGAAACTACTCCGGATTTGTTCAAATTCGTTGATTTTTAACGAATTTGATGATATGATTTGTGGGATTTAATTAGTTTAATCTTTTAATCAGATAACACAGTTTACATCTTTTACGTTTTCAACTAGAAAATCTAATAAAATCTTGAAATGAACTCTGTTTTATGGTTTAAATTATTTAGGTCGCTAATTGTGTGAAAAGATTGAAACTTGTGAATTGTGATGTGCTCAACATGTCTTATAAAATTGTTTTATTTTATTTTTAATTTTTTTGTATAAAAGGTAAAGGGGTATTTGAGTAAATTGAATATATTATTTCATTTTTCTTTAAATCTTTGCCTAATTTGCCGCCGGCCTCACTAATTAAAGTCGGAAGTAAATATTCTATTTGACATAACCCTTTGACTATTTATTAAATACTAAAAATATAATATAATAAAATTGAGAACTTATTATATATATACCATTAAAACAGTGTTAAGATTCTATTCAAAAATAAGTACTTATTTTTTTTATAACTCAAAATAACATAAAAGAAATGTTTTTAGTATTTATATATAGCTTATTACTATAATATCGTTTTTTCTTGTTTTTTAACGATAAAATAACAACAAAGTAAAAAATATAATGTAGTCTACAAAAAACAAAAAAGATTGTAAAATAACACATATGAATTGAGGAAAGAGTTTAAAAATAACTTTTGATTTAATAAATAAGTTTGAAAATTGGCAACAAAATATTCTTTTTTTTTTTTTTTTTTTTTTTTTTTTACTTTGTACAATTCTACTCCGTGACTCTATAGTATTCCGTAACAATGACAAGTCAGGCAGCTGATTTGATTGTATATCGTCTATTTTATCATTGTGTCGTGAAATTTTCTAATATTTTCAAAACACACCCTCATGGTTTGAATAATTGCAAATATTGCAGGAAGTTTACGATAGGGATACGTTTAGCCTCGATGACAAAATGGGGGATGCTGTATTTGACATCCAGCCGTTCTTAGAAGCAATTAAGATGCGTTTGAATAATCTTCCGAACGGAACAATCATCACGACTGTTAAACCGACAAGGACCAACTGTTTGTCTGAGGAAAGTCAGATTATATGGACCGATGGAAAAGCAGTTCAAAAGATGGTTCTTAGACTGCAGAATGTTGAATGTGGGGAGATTGAGATTCAACTGTCATGGATCGATATTCCAGGCTCGAGAGGTCTGAAGTAGATTATTGTAATGTGTTTCACGGTTCTTGTTGCATGTTTGTATTGTAAATTTATGAAACCAATTAGCTTGTGTTAGTTTCTCTATTTTTATCAAATATGTAAGTTTTCTAAGCTATGTATAATGATATTGAGAGACATAAAGATCATTTTTACTATTTTGGGAAAGTTATTTATAGTTAGTGTTATAATACAGAATTAAGAATAATTCAAACAATACGATGGATAAGTTGTTGAAACAAGCAAATCTTAATCTACATGTGGATAAGTTGTGTTATTTAATTGTCACATACCATCTTATTGGGTATTTTTCTTGTTTTAAGGTAGCTAGTTATATTTTTTTTTTAGAGTAATCACAATTTTAATTTTTATTGTGTTACTTTGTAAACCTAGAATTAACTATTTATAACAAGTTTTTTTATTTTATTTTATTTTTTTTTCAGAAAAGGAATAGCTAAAAAGTAGAAAATCATGAGTTGTTGTTGCTTGGCCTTATACAAAGAAATGATCTCGCTCAACATAAATAGATCATCTAAGATTTTCATGCCTTTAACAAATGCAAAATGCTCCGACCACACTACCAATCAACCCAACCAACCTTTTAACTAAGAGTTCCCCAATAATCTTGTGTTGGAACCCAATTAGACTAATAGGTCTAAAGTCCTTCACCTACGTAGGATCTCTAATTTTATGTTTAAGAAGCTGCAACTTTTTCTTAATCACAACCTAAGGATCTTCCACATGCAGAAAAGGAGTAGCACAAACTCCTCACAACATTGTCAAACCCATGCATACCAAACCAAGAATGGAACAACTGAAACAGTTGAGGATTATGTTGCTCCTTTTTGTTCGTAACATATCTGCTTATTTTGGCTTAAAATGGTGTCATCCCTGAACACTTGGATCGAAACTTATTGAAGTTTCTAAGTTATTTGTCAACAAGAGGGTTGAGTTAGTGAAGGTGTAGTGGCAACACTGCAAAGGCTTGGAGTGGACTTGGGAGGCGGAGGATGAGATGAGGGAGCTCTACCCATAGCTAGTTCCAGACACAACAGACTTCGAGGAACAAGTATAAAATAAGTCGGGGAGATTTGTAACGCCCGGTTCCTGTTATGTATTTTAAATAAATTTATTCATCTTTGAATAGGAACTCAACGAGTTAGAGGCCCCAAACTTGACAAGTAGGAACGGAAATTGGACGCAGAACTTAACTCGACGAGTTGAGGGACTCAACTCGACAAGTAGGGCTACGAGAATGAAACCTTAATTTTCAGGGTTTGGCATCTTATTTAAACACCTTAACCTCCAAATGCTAGCCTCATTTACAGCCTCCATCGTCCCAAACCCTAGCCACGAAACCCTAACATGTTGTTGAGAGTTTTGAGCCATTCATTGTGCTTTCTTTAGGTTTTAAAGAAGAATAGACTTGAAGAAGGAGCAAGGAAGTGAAGGAGAAGAGTAGGTCCAGAAGTTGAGCTCTATTTCTGTTTCATTGAAGGTATAAAGCTCCTATCTTGTCTATTCAATGTTTAGATCTAGTTTTGGAGTGATTTCTCCATGTTTTGGTCCAAGATTGCTAGCTTTTGACACTTGGGCATTCCAAGTGATTACTCTTTGAGATCTGGGTTGTAGAAGGGGTTTCATGACATAAAGTGCAAACTTTATGGACATGGAAACCCCATGAAAGCTTTAAGGTGTCATTTTGGCCTTTTAATCTCCAAAAGGCCATGCATGGAGGGAAAGTCATGGACTATACGTATTAATATGGTGTCTAAGGCCTCGATCTCAATTGTTATGCTTTACTGTGAAGTATTATGGCTTTTAGGTCAACATTTAGGTCTTAAAGAATTAGCGTTTGAGCTAAACCCAGTAAGAAGGACTATTAACGGGTAAATTTGGAAACTTTACCCTTAAAAGGATAGTTTCTGTATGTATATGAAGTATCGAGCTTAGATTTGAGGGATAAGAGCTTAATCTGTTAAGATGGATCAACAAACTGAAGAACTCATCTAGTCCATAGAGGAACTCGACGAGTTGGGTCGAAGAATCCTAAGTCTATAAAGGGTGAAAACTCGACGAGTTCTAGGATAACTCGATGAGTTGATAGGATAAGTCCCGATTCTATGGATAGGAGGAACTCGACGAGTTGTGAAAGAATACAACGAGTTGGATCGAGATTTAGGGTTCTTGATTCATGGAACTCGACGAATTGATGGACCAACTCGCTGTGTTGAGTCAACCAGGATGTTTACTTTGACCAGGATCTTAACTTTGACTCTAACCTTGACCAAAGTTGACCCTTAAAGGGGTTATGAGTATGAAAAGGGTAATTAAAGGAAATGCTTATGTGTATGAGTCTAAGAAGGGTTGATTTCAGAGCAGGAGCCTTTACAGTTATTTCAAAGTTATCGAGGTGAGTTGCCTTCTAGTAGGAGTGGGTCTAAGGCACCATTGCAAGCCCACTAGTATTGATTATAGTTGAGATGATTGTCTTTGTGATAATTGCATGGCATGCCACTATCTGTTATGCTTTATGTGCTAGTATGTTATGTTATTATGTGATAGTGGTAGGGGTGAAATAGTCCTCGATTACCGATTGAAAGAGGCTGAAGGGGAGGCCAGCACCCAGATATGCTAGACAATGTATGATTTATAGGTATATGCTAGGGTATTGTGTGGTGGTGGTAGGGGGCGAAATAGTACCCGATTACCGGTTGAAAGAGACCGAAGGGAAGGCCAACATCCATATATGCTAGGCAATTACCGGTTGAAAGAGACCAAAGGGGAGGCAAGCACCCAGATATGCTACACAGTTACCGGTTGAAATAGATCGAAGGGGATGCCAGCACCCAGACATGCTAGGCGTTATGTGATTATATGGTATGTGGTATAATGGGGGAACTCACTAAGCTTTGTACTTACGGTTTTCAGTTTTGGTTTCAAGTACTTCTTATTTGAAAGGAAAGGAACCGACATGACTACATCGCATCACACCACTGTTTTCCACACTATGATGTTCTTGGGATTTATACTTTGACATTATTATGACTTGTTTTGAGACATATGACTTATGGGTTTATATGACATGGGATAACTCACTGATGTTTTTAATAATCTAATTTATGAATTATTAAATTAAAAATGAAATTTTTGGTCTTGGATTTTGGGATGTTACATTGAACCTCATATGCGCTTTAAATAGTGTTTTAAAAGTATCTTCCACATCATGGAGTAATGTTTCTTTGTTTTGGCTCTTAATTACCATGTCATCAATGTAGACCTCGATGTTCCTACCAGTTTGATCAGCGAATATCTTTTCCATTAGTCTCTGATTTGTAGCACCTGCGTTTTTTAGTCCAAATGGCCTTTTCTGGTAACAGAAAGTTCCTTTCACGGTGTGAAAAGTTGTTTTCACCTCTACCTCTTGTTTCATCTGTATTTGATGATAACCTTTATATGCATCAAGGAAACATTTGAACTGAAACCCTTCGAGCGATTGGACTTTGTGATCTCTCTTAAGAAGGGGGTAAGAATCCTATAAACAATCGTTATTAAGGTCTAAGTAGTCAATGCACATTCGCCATGACCCATTGGCTTTCTTTAGCATAACTGGATTTTTTTATCCATTTCGGGAACATTTCTTCCTTGAATATGTCATCACTTACTAGGTTGGCTACCTCTACATTTATAGCCTTGTTTCGGTCTTCTGCCTGGCCCACCTTCTTTTGTATGATAGGATTGCCTCCGGGCGTGATTTTGAGACTGTGCTCTATAACCTGTCAATCTACACATGTCAGATTTGTTGTATTCCAGGAGAAAACAGTGGAATATTGATTTAGGAGTGCTACCAGTCGTACCTTGGTCTCGCCTGATAAGTGAGCATCGATTCGCACAATCTGATCTGGGTATTCTTCATTTACCAGATGTTGTTCGGTGGAACAATCCTCCTTGGACTTTTTTGGAGCTCGCACCAACTCAGGAGCAACTATGATCTGATGGTAGTGTTGCGCGCTAGTGTTTGCGGCGATAATTGTTGTTGATCCCTGGCGTGTGCTAAATTTGACTATGCCATGTATCATTGATGGCATGAACTGTAGTATGGAGATTGCTGATCTTCCGAGCAGAATATATTGTGTTCTGCTGGAAAACCGAATCATAGAAAATTCGATTATTCTTGTGATTATGTCCCCTTCTTCATGACAAACCAACGTTAATTGCAGTCAGAGAGTGCCTAATGGCCACAAGCTGTGACTGGTGAACGCCACCAACAGTCCTCCAATTGGAACCTTAGCCCCTCTTTCCATGTTTTTGGTAGTTTCCTAAAACAATGCTCGTAGATTTTGTCGGAGATACTACCATTGTCGATGTATATCCGATGGATTTTTGTAAGGCGAATGAATCTAGATTGAAGAGTGGATCTCGTGGATCCCAGTTCGATGGCCTGGGATCGTTACTCTAAAAAGTGATATTGAGTAGATTTCTTGAAAGTACATCTATCTTATCCTCCGTTTGGCGAGTTGCATTTCTCTTACGATATTTAGAGATAGTGAGTACCTCGTTGCCATCATACAGAGATTACTACAGCAAATCGAGACGTGTTATTGCCATTTGAGGAAGCGAACCATCTGGCAATAGTTGTCAGAAACTACTGTTGAGTACTAGCTCTGCTATTTCTGTTGTAATTGGCAGGATCCACGCCATTAGCACATGGATTGGGGCATGTGTTGAACACCTGCGGTGATGTTCCTCGTTTACTATCATCAGTGTTCTGAATAGGCCCTCTTATACCGTCTTGGTTGATGTTGGGTTTAGATCCCCCTTTTGTAGAGAACCAACATTGTCTATTAGCTATATCACTCTGAGGATACGTCTGGATGGTGCCAAATGTTGTGACTAGCTCTCTAGGGAATTGGTCATTTATGGACGAGTTAGTCTTGGAGAATTACCTGAGAACACAACATAGAAGAATTGTTAGAGGATGAACGGGGGTTCTCTTGGGACGTCACTCCAACGATCAAGTTAGCTTTATTTAAGAGAGAGATTTAGGTAAAAAAATGCGTAGGGAAGAAGATGATCCTTTCTCTTGGGCATGAAGGGATCCTTTTGTACCTATTGCTAACGGAATGGGTTGACTCTCCC